TCCAGTAACCACACGGGGTAGTCACTATTGCTGACGATTAAACACGATGTGAACATTTTTTTTTCTATTCGAATCACTGCTTAATGATGTGCAGTATATTTGACAAAGATAAAAATTGTTGTTCGATGGTCGTTTCAATCAAAACAAAATTTACTTTTCTTGTTGTTTCATTCACATTATAAAGATATTCGTCACAAGCACAATGAAGAAAAAAAAACCGAACTGACGATGCCTTTATTGGGTTTTTTGTTCTTGTCAGAAAGAGAAAAACAATCGTTCTGAAAGAATCAAAGAAGAATAAACAATGTATGAGACGAGGTATTCAACACAATGGCACTTAAGTCAATGTACAGATGAAAAGCAAACAAAAGTTAAAAAGAATAACAATACAATAAATGACACTGTTGGATTTTTTCTTTCTCTTTCGTTTCTTTTTAACAATCCTATTTGCAATTGAAACCAGGTGGAATTTGCCGTTGAGTGTCAACGAAAAACAAACATCCACATTTGACGTTGTAGAAAAAAGCAGCAGGCAACGACTGTATACATAGAAGAGGTGATTTCCATCTAGACGAAAAACAACTATTCACCATTCTGCATTAACGATCAAGCAACATTTCATACTCAATATGAGTGAGCAAAAAACCAACCAAAATATTTTGATATCAAGTAGTGGCGTCGTTGCACGTACAACTACATCATCAAATATCGTCCAACCAAGACGATGCATAGCTCAAAATTATTCGCTCATTTGGATCGATGGTACTATCGACAAATCAGAAGAAGATTGGCAAAAGAACCTCTCACAAGTACAAGGCGTCATCAGTGATGTTAATATTTTTATACAACCAGATGAATGTATCCAGTTTCTTAACACCATCAATCTGGAAAATGTTTTTCTCATTGTTTCAGGATTTTTAGGTCATGATCTCGTGCCAGAAATCCATGATATGCCACAGATAGATGCTATTTACATCTTCTGTGGCAGCGAAGCACGACACAAAGCATGGGCCAAAGAGTGGCCAAGGATTCAAGGTGTCTTCACCTCAATCGAGGATATGTGCAAGTCATTAAAAAAAGTCGCTCGCGAATGCGACCATCATGCAATACCGATGAGCTTTACTGCGAAAGAGACTGTAACAACAGCATCCGGTCAACAAAGTCTAGATTGATTGGAACTAGCCTACATGTATTCGATGCTATTCAAAGAAATTATATTGGAAACCGATGAAGACGACGCTAAGTCTTTGAATGATCTGGTTATGTACTGCTGTACCAAAGGCATCCCTGAATCTCAATTGAAGTATTTTCAGCAGGAATACCACCGAAAATCGCCCATCTGGTGGTATACTGATGAAATTTTTCTCTACGGCATGTTGAATAAAGCTCTACGTTTACTCGATGTGGAGGGCATAACTAAAATGGACTTTTTCATCCATAATCTTCATCGACAACTGGAACAGCTGCACCGAGAACAATCAGATGCGTATAAGAAACAATTTATCGTTTATCGTGGTCAAGGACTGTCCCAGAAGGACTTTCAGCATTTACTGAAAACGAACGGTGGATTCCTCTCGTTCAATAATTTCTTGTCGACTACTACAAAACAACAGGTAGCTATGGAATTTGTTCAACGTGCACTACAAAAATATGAAAACTACATAGGCGTTCTCTTTGTTATGATGATAGACCCGAATACAGTTTTGGCTTCGAGTACTCCGTTTGCACTTATCGATGAATACAGTGCTATTAAAGACGAAGAAATCCTCTTCTCAATGCACACTATCTTTCGTGTCGACGAAATCAAAGAGACGGTCAACAATAGTCGCCTGTGGGAAGTTCAGTTGACTCTTACCGACGACAATGATCCACAACTGGCTGCTCTCACCCATATCATACGAGAGGAGACTCAAGGATCTACCGGATGGCATCGATTGGGTCATCTGATGCTCAAAGTGGGTCACTTCAATCAAGCTGATGAACTATACAATGAACTGCTCAAGAACGCTTCCAATAACAGTGATAGAGCAGATATCTATCATATGCTTGGATATTTGAAAAACACCCACGGACAATACAAAGGAGCAGCTTCATTTTACGAAAAGTCTCTGGAAATCAAGCGAAAAAATCTTCCGAAAGCTCATCCTTCATTGGCTTCTACCTACAACAACATCGGTCTTGCGTATAACAACATGGGTGACTATTCGAAAGCACTTCAATTTTACGACAAAGCACATAAAATAAAAGAAAAAACTCTACCTTCGAATCATCCCGATTTGGCTACTTCCTACAACAACATTGGTGGAGCATATAACGACATGGGTGACTACTTGAAAGCACTTGAATTTTACAACAAAGCACTTAAAATCACAGAAAACACGCTACCTTCGAATCATCTCTTACTGGCTACTTCCTACAACAACATCGGTGGAGCATATAACGACATGAGTGACTACTTGAAAGCACTTGAATTTTACGACAAAGCACTGAAAATCAGAGAAAAAACACTGCCTTCAAATCATCCCTTATTGGCTACTTCCTACAACAATGTCGGTGGAGCGTATAATGACATGGGTGACTATTCGAAAGCACTTGAATTTCACGACAAGGCACTTGAAATCAGAGAAAAAACACTGCCTCCGAATCATCCCTCATTGGCTACTTCATACAACAACATCGGCAATGCATATTCCGGCAACGGTGACTACTCGAAAGCACTTTCATTTCTGGAAAGGTCACTTGTTATCTTACAAAAGTCACTTCCGCCAACACATTCTCTAATTAAAACTGCGATAGATAATATTGACTCTGTGAAGAAGAAAATGTAAATTTGTTTTCTTTTTCTTGCTTCCTCAATAAATTCGGTCTCATTGCTATTCACTTCCCTTTCTGGCTTCTCTCGGTTCATTATCGTGTATGCACGCGCGCAATCAGGAAGACTCTCTGTGAGCCTGAAATGGGTACACATAGAGCGGACCACGCTGGACTGGTAGAGCAATGAACGTAGGCATGATGTAAAATAACGACGACAGGGACCTACGAACATAGTAGGCCTTCCAAAGTATTACACTACTTTCGTCATAACAGGCGCAAGGACTCCACCGGATCACGTTACGAAGCCATGTAACTGGCTGTGATATAATATGGTATCTCACTCCACTATACAATAACAGTGCGATTCCCAAAGAAAAAGAACTTTTTTTTTACTTTCATGTATTACGATTAATACATTCATGTAATACATTTAGGAGAAAAACTATTCCATTCGGACTAGATGACATATCTATCTTATCGATAAAAATTTTCGTAGAAATCCTATTGGTTAGTAGGACTTCTAAATTTTATATTCCTTCCCGCAATTTGAAAAAGAGGGAATTAACTTAGTTTACACTCGTCTACTACTGTAGTCCTTCTGAATAGAGAAAAAAAATTGCAAGCAACATATCTTCCTTACCTGTTGTGTTTGTAATGTAAATCATATCATTGATTATAATTTAATAGATTAAAATATAATCATATTTTAATATAATAAAGTTTATTTCATATAAATATCATTGCAATTCATTATCTAATATTGATAAGTTCTACCGAAACGATAATATCGAAGCCGATAATTTGACTTCAAAACGTTGTAAACAACACTGTTATAATATAATATAATATAATATTTATAATAATTTAATGTTAATCATTGTCATTGTAAAAAATTTTAGTAATAATTTTAACATGTAACTAAAATTTATATCATTAATATAACATATGTAAATAATAATATGGTACCATATGAATGTATAAATTTCATTATAATAAATTCAGTCATCATTAGAATAAATGTATATTGCACCTCCCAAAAAGAAAACTTATTAGAGTACTTACCCTTGTCCGTTCTTCCGAGAGAAATCCTCGATGAGTCACCAGAGAATCCCCTAAAAATTCACAGAAAGTCGCTAAAAACAAGGGATTCTCTGGAGATATTTCAGGGAATCTCCTCATTTTACGGAGTGCGGAGAAAAGTGTACTCCCTGGAAAGTGACTTTCTAGGAACTCCTCAAGGGGTATTTTTTTGGTTGATTTTGAGTCCATGACAAATCTCAATAATATTATCACTGAGCTTTAGCCCTCGAAAGACAAGTATGTTGTAGGGTGTGAGGTGTGAGTTTCGTTCAAGTGAATGCCCACACCCACACCCACTTACATTCAGACGCACCCACACCCACCCCGTGTTGCTAGAGGTGGCACTTTATCTTTATTTTATTTTGAAAAAGTAAAATAAGGATAAAGTGCAACCCTTATTTATTCAGTTATATTTAAATTGACTTGAAGCCATTGAAATTAAAATCGTTTATCTTTATAAAAATACCAAGATGGCGAGATGTTAGAGGTAGTAAATTTTAATTCTCTTTAATGATTATAATCTGGTTTCTAAAGATCAGCTAAAGTGTATTGATTGTTTTGTTATAAACAACAATTTTTCACTCTGCATAGTCTGTTTAATTAGATTTAAGAGGGAATGCATCTGACAAATCATGACTCGTTATCCATCCATTTCATCAGTTCCATTTGCCTCCATCAATAATGTCAGTAACTTCAGTGACGAAGATGAAATTCTTTTCTCTATGCATACTGTTTTTCGCATTGGTGAAATTAAAAAGCTCGATAATACCAACCGATTTTGGCAGATAGAACTCAAATTGACGAGTGATGATGACCAACAACTCCGCCTACTCACTAATCGAATACGAATAGAGACTGGAGGAGCCAAAACTTGGCTACGATTGGGTATATTATGAATGAAAATAGGCTATTTCAATAAAGCTGAAGAAGTTTACACAACACTGCTCAATCAAACGTCTGATGAGTTTGAGAAAGCGGCAATTTATAATCACCTTGGATTAATAAAAGAACATCAAGGTGAATATAACAAGGCAATATCATTCTGCGAAAAATCAGTTGAGATCTCTCAAAAATTTCTTTCTAGAAACGACCCCGATTTGGCTACTATGTATGGTAACGTCGCACTAGTTTATGGCAGTATCGGAGAGTATGCAAAAGCAATTTCATTATTCGAAAAATCACTTGAAATTCGTCAAAAAGTTCTTCCTTCAAATGATCCTTATTTGGCTACTTCTCATAACAACCTTGGTATGATGTATTACAGAAAAGGTGAATATGCAAATGCACTTTCATCTTATGAAAAAGCACAAGAAATCTACAAAAAAACTCTTCCATCAAATCATCCCGAATTCGCTCTATCCTACAATAATATCGCATCCGCATATAACAGCTTGGGAAATTATTCGAGTGCACTTTTGTTTCATAAAAAAGCTTTAGACATTCGACAAAAAGTTCTTCCTCCTACTCATCCGGATTTTACTGTTTCTTATATCAATATCGCTTCGGTGTACGAAGCAATGGGTGACTATTCACAAGCACTTTCATTTCATGAAAAAGCACGTGAAATCTACGAAAAAGTTCTTTCAACAAATCATCCTATGTTGGCTACTTCCTATAACAATATCGCCTCAATATATCATAAAATCGGCGAATATTCGAGAGCACTTTCGTATTATGGAAAAGCACATGAAATTATTACAAAAATCTATCCATCAAATCATTCTTCGTTAGCTACTTCCTACAATAACATAGCTAGCGTATATCATTCAATAAGCGAGTATTCGAAAGCACTTTTAACTCAAAAAAAAGCACATGAAATCTTAGAAAAAGCTTTTCCAATCAATTATCCATTGTTAGCTACTTCTTACAACAACATGGCTATATTCTATAATGCTATGGATGATTATTCAAACGCACTTTTATCTCATAAAAAAGCACTTGAAATCGGACAAAAAAATCTTCCATCAAATCATCCAGACTTATCAACTTCTTACAATAATATTGGTTCGGTATATTTTGATATCGGTGAATATCAGAAAGTACTTCCATTTTTCGAACGTGCTTTAAATATTTTAAAACAATCAGTACCGGCAAATCATCCTCATCTTCAAAGTGTACAAGAAACTATCATATTTTTGAAACAAAAATTGTAAATAATTTATTAAGAATACAAGAGACAGTATACATTTATTCAACTCAACTCTTTACAGTTGTTTGAACCCTTTTATACGTCTGAATACGCGTAATATTATAGACTGATCGATAGAGCAACACACATATGCATACATGCATCGTCAATCTTCATTAAATCTTGCAAATCTTAGTTTTTTATGTTAGATTATGTGCATAAATAAAAAGCAGACTATGCTGCATGTCTTTCTTTATTGTTTTGTGATGATTCTCTGTTGTAGACCTTATTCGACAAGATTCGAAAAAAAATGCCGTTTTAGAGTGTTTTCGTAGCAAAAAAAATTCGCCGTTGGGTGAGGTGTGGGTAGAAGAAAGAATAGAAAACTCACACCTTACAATAAGCTGGAAGAAAAACAGAAACGTTTTGAAGACATCGATTCTTTTATGAGTTTTTTTTGTAGCAAACAGTATTTCTATGACATGTTTTTTTCTAACAAAAAAAAAAGAAAAAATATATCGAGCAAATCGAATTCGTACAGTGGTACTTTTTGATTATTTATTTTTCATTTCATCAAACGCGACAAGAAATCTATGATATGCAGGAATACGCTGTAACACATTTTGCAACTTTATCTAATAATCATATTCTGTTTTGTTTTACAAAATCAAAAAAGAAACACATCAGTTCTCCTTGCAATGAATATTTAATTAAATTCAATAAGTCAATTTTTTGTTTGGATGAAATTATTTTTATTCACATATGTAAAAAAATCCTTATAAAATAAAATTGAAACGAAGAGAATTATATTGATTTCATCGACTTTTTTAAACACCATCAAAGGTAAGTAGTACAGTTTTCTATAGATTTCGTTCTTTTTTCTTTTGTTTGCTAATATTCTTTCTCTTTATTCAAATCTTTGCTTTTAAGGCCGAAAGATAGAGTGCCTTGCCCTAATTCGACCACGCATTTCAGCATTATTGAGAAAAAAATTGACATCTTTGCTCCAGGATGTCCATTCGAGCTCATTCTTTTTCCAGAAATAGAGTCATCAACACTCTACATTTCTACCGATTTGTTTTTTGAAGATTAATTAGCTTTTAATGAGTAATCGTCAATAGAATAACACCGAGTGTAGGTGTTGGTGTCAATTTTCTTCTCACAACCACACTCATACCCCAAATCTGCATCCTTTTCAATTGAACTAAATCTTTGACAGATGGGTTGCAAGAAAATATTCTCTACATGTTCTTATACAAATATTGAGTCGTGCCAGCTCAAGTGATCTTGATGCCTATGAAGATAAATTGTTTCTTCTGTTATACTTGCTTGGAGAAATGTTCTTCAGAAATTAACAGACTTTGCGGATGTAATGTGGGGAAACTTTATCTTTGTGAAATAAAATGGAGTTTATCTAGCAAAATCTTCTTATTTCAAGACTAAAAAAAGGCTTAAAGATTAGTGAAATCTTTTTTCCCATTAATAATGTTACCACGAAAAAAGTGCCCGAACATTTGATTTCCTAATATCATACAACAACGGTTTCTTTTTCAAGATTGCATGATCAATTCAATAGTCGAATATGTTGATGACGTCTGCTAAATACCCTATTAACCCAAAAATGAAAATTCATAATAAGATTAAAATAAATTTTATCTGATGTTTTTATTGATATGTTTAAAAACGACAGGTTTATGTATTGCATTTGTAAATAATCATTCTTTACACCTATTAGAAACAAACTTATATAAAATAAAACTTTAATGAATATGGAATAAAACTATATAAAAATCTCACATCAATCGCTTGAAAGATTAAAAGAAATATTCATGCTTCTTTTTTGGTCGAACTTTGGAAAACCTCGTATATATAACAACCTAGAATTATTCGTAACGAGAATTGACTACAGTGAAAAAAAATCATATGGTATTGCATTCTTTTTTATGATAGTCTTATGGATACGCTAGTCATTTTTTCTCTACTAGATCATTTCTCAACCATCTTTCCCATGCCCATGGTATACCAAATTCTAAATGATGTGTCATTGACAACATTTGTTGTAAACAACAATATCTTCGATTGACAGATGAACGAATAGATAATGGCCGATGTGAACCAAATTGTATTATTCTAATGTATTTAGTCAAATTTTTTTTGATTAATCTTTCAATAACATCATATTCACAGCCTTCACAATTGATATGTAATAAATTTAATTCTCCAATTATAATGCTATTACTTAACTTTAATAATATGTGAAATTCGAATAGTATTTCTGCAACATCTCTCAAAATTAATTTGTATTTTAAATTATTACCAATGTCGTCCTTATTTTCATGTTTCCCAACTAAAGTCAAAGCTTGTGATTTTCTGATATCCTTCGCTGTTATATCAATAAGTTCATTTTTATTTGATAGACCGATATTGTACATATGATGTTTAACTGTTTCCAATTGTCGTAGTATGCGACGGGAATGAATTAATTTATCATAGAATTGTGCTACTGGTTCTAAAAACCAGACATGACAATTTTCATATTGTTTAATAAATTCAAGGCCATCCGTGCCAGCCTCATGGGCTCCACAATATAGTATCTGACATTCATTTCTTGATGACATCAAATTATTAAAGGGTTTAAAACGATCTTCTTCATTCCAATAAAGTGAACTATTCAATAATGGTTGATTAACAGCTTTCAGTTTTAGTCTAAGAAGCATAATGGTTTCGATACCAACTCCAACGTACTTATAAGGTACCAATTCAGTGGCATACTTATAACATTCTTCGTATGAATCAATTGAGGTTTTACATGTCAAATTATCAATATCTATTTTTGTTTTATCAATAGAATTAGATATTTGATGAACACCACTAACATAATCTTGATTGTCATTATATTTGAATATTAAGAAAACCATCGATAGCGAAATGATTATTAACCAAATGCAGATGGTATTTCGAGAGTACATTCTAAATATAAAGTTAATATTTATCGTCACATACTATTAACTAGAAAATAATTAAATTTTTTATTTTACCTAAATTATGATTTTCTAAACAACTCGACTTTCACATTCAATTTTTGAATTAATATATATATCTGTCAAACTATTCGAGACTTGCTTAGGGAATTTCGTTCAGACTAGAAGAGAGAAACTCGATTTTGATTCTTACTTCAATGATTGATTTACTTTTTTTTAAGAAAGATTTTTTGAATCAAATAAAATACACTAAGAAAAAAATTAAGCAAAAAGGAACAGTTAGAGGAAAAATTGTTTTCTTGATCTGATGAAAACGAAATAAACCTATAAGATTCAAAGAAGATATAATTTTATCAAAAATCTCATAAAAAAAGATCTGCAAAGTAAAATAGTCTAGTTTTAGAATATCCAGGACTCAAATTTGTACATGCTTATAATAGATGAATTAATACTAACAAATATTTTAGAATTAGAAGAGAAGAAGTGAGAGCTAACTTCGCATTACATACAATTAATGTCTCTCAGATTGATCATTATGAAGATTGTAAACGATTATATTATAATAACGTTTATGTCATTGGACACATCACGTAAACGATACAATTATGACCGTATATGAACTGTAAATGGAATAAGCAGTGAGGACAGTATTATGGTAGTGAGGGGCCGTGTCGTACATGGTAAAGTACACACAACGTTTACAATGATATTAGTGCCCTAACATAATCGTATTTTAAATGAGTACAGCTGTTACAATGCATTCTTATAACATATATCTCGATTCTCTTTATTCTCTTTTCTTTGATATTTTCGTTTCTATTGCTTTTCTTTGACCTTGGTTAACTTTTGTATTCTTTTCTATTTTGTCGTTGTTTTTTATGTGTGTATATAAACGTTTGTTTCTCAAAGAAGAAGAAGAGAGAGAGAAGAAAAGACGTACAGCTTTAACTGTGTTCGTCGCTCTTCCCAGGTCGACGGTTACGGACTCCCTATACGATCGTATTTTGCTCTATGCGATAAAAATATTGTCCATTTACCGTGTATTGCATGCACCTCCGTCACCAAAAAAGTCAGTGATGTTATCCCAAGTCTTATCCCAATAGATGACCTAAAATAAATAAAAAATAAATTAAATAAATTAAACAACGTAATGTTCATTAAATCGTACAGTTACGGTAGCCGTATATGACCAGGTACGATTACGCACGGTGATATACGGCAGTTGTATAGCTCCGTATACGGAAGCCGCGCACGACCTCCATATATCTCTGTTTTTTCTTCGTAAACGATCGTATGTGCATGTAACTGACCCCTTCGTGGCGATATGAATATTGCTTTCTCAGAACTCGTGAAAGGTTTCATTTCTTTATTTGTAGCAAATGTAGTACTTCAGCATAACTTTTATCGATGTTTCTCTTATCAATATGAGCTATGAACATTCTTCTATCAATGGTAAAAAGAACCAGCTCTTTTGGTCAAAGGATGACACAGATATTGCATTTTTTCTACGATAAGCAAGCTTTTGGACCACCCTATAGTGGGTCTCATCGGTGGGATTCATCGCCGCGAAAGAGTTAAACACAAACTCATAATTAATTACTGATAAATGACCTGTTGACAACTAGTTAGTGAATAATTGATGAAAGAAGTGTTGAAGGATATAGCGAGGAAAGTAAACTAGCCCTCATGCTGTCCATAGACCGTGATAGACACTCTGAAGTTCAATCGGCGACTGTACAAGATGTTATTCATACGTGATCAAAACTGTACATCAATCATCTCGTATTATAGTATATGAATTGGTTCCTCATATCAGTTCTGGAAGAATAAGTAAAGGGATAGTTTAGAGGTGTGCCATGAAATAGATAGATTACAACAAGCTACCTGTAATTATCACGATCATCTACTAACTATATTTGAAAGTTCTACTTCAGAAGATAACCTTTTAGGATTAGACAGACTCGAAATGTTACCAACTCATCGGACCTTATTTTTTTAAACCTATTCAACGTGTAATCCAGAATAAATAGCCATATTTTGTATTTTACTTTTTCGTCATCTAATACGTCTTATTAAAAATCAAAACACACCAAACGATGCAGGATGAAAAACTCTACCGTCTACAATACAAAACTTACTTTCTATATGTATCTTTGATTTTCAAAATAGGCCAATTCTACGTGAACAAATTTCAGTGCATGATAAATCACATTTTTACAAGTGTGTTAGTTAATAAAAAGAAATGACATCTCAAGACCTACCAACGGTGGTTATATGAATGATTGATAACGGCATGTAGTCATCCAACGCATCATTAGACGATGGCAAATGTCATTTAAAGAAAAAGGTGAAACTGATTTAAGAACATCTACTAATAAACGTAAAATCGTGCAAACAAAAAAATCTTATAATTATAAAATAAACTACTCTTTTGTATATAGAAAAATTTTTCAAGCTGTATCTTATGGTAAACTTTTTTCTTTTAATAAAACATATCAAGTGATAAAAAAGATGAAATAAGAAAAAAAATGAATTGCTCATATGTCAAAAGAAACTTTTTTCACAGCATCGAACTTGATGGTGTGTGTATGGCTGTAGCTGCATATGTGTGGCGATTTGAGTGAAAGCATGGATAGTAAGAAGGCTATCGCTCCACACCCTTTTTTGTTGAACACAATGAGCAAAAAAATTGACGTAATGGTTTTTATAGATACAATAGTCAAATATAAATGTGAAATCCTATATTGAGATTAGTGCACTGTTATTTGTAGTGATCGAATTTTAGAACTTGCATATCATGGAGTCTGTAGTATTACTCTCAGTATCAAACTTCTGATTCATACGTTTGAGAACAATACTGGACTCGCGACTATTCTCTGTCGTTTCCTTATGCCGAACACCAAGTTTCCCAATGAGTAAATGATAAAGCGGTTCGACTATCAACTTGTACATGAGGAATACCAGACCAAATATTTCCAAACAAACTATAGTAAATAAGATGGTACGAAATATAATTTCTGCGTGTCTAGCTATTGGTTCTTGTATATTTTTGACATAGAAGGGTGTTTCATCTATCTTAATTGTTAATACTGTCGCTGGTGATGTTAATTGAATGTATTGGTCTTTTGAAACAAATAAGTTATCCGAATTAGTTATACGTGTAAGTACGTAGATACCACTATAGTGGCTCTCTTCACCTTTCATTGGTACTGTTTCATTGATAACTTTTGTTAGTGATAGACTCACATTTAAAGTGTGTGTTAAAACATATCCATTCTTTGAAAAAGATTGAACGGTATTGAACTCTTTCAAATTACATAATTCTTCTTCATGTGAAGGACCACTTAGACCTATACGCAGAGCACTAATAGACTGAACATCAGCTAGAGTAATTTCTACAGATGCGAGTTGAAAAGGCAGCGGAATCGATAAGTATAGAATCGAACGAATATTTTCACAAGTAGACCAACGAATCGTGGACCAAGTCGTACCATAAAGGGCTCTAAGTGATATGATATCACAGTTTAGCAATGTATTGATGAAATCAACATTAAGGATAAAATTTTGTTCATTTAACAAACCAAACATAGGTGTTTCAGTATGTGAACGGGGTATAGCCAATGATTGGAGTCCTGTTTCAAATTTAGCATTACGAATCGATTCCTCACAATCAAAATAGGAGCCAGACGATGTTTCATATGGATATTGGCGGTAAAAGATATCACTAAATGAATAGGCAAAACAAACCATAACTATCAAAGATAATGATGCTAAACCACCCACCCACATCTCACCTTCACCAATCAAATCTGTTCTTTTAAATACATTTTGAATTATTTTCTTTATTCGATTACTTATTGGATGACGGACGCAAAAGTGCAGTATTGCAATCACTATCAATATGAGAATAGCTATAGCGGCTACGATCAATGACCAAAATAAAGGTGAGATAACTAAGCAATGTCCTCTTTTAATATCGAACATATTTCCAATTAGAATCTCTTCAAATATGGTACTTTCTGGTGATTTTAGATAAGCAATAACTTGTACGACGGTTTCCAGTGCTGATTGAGGTATGTCATCCACTGAACCAAGCGAGCAAAACGATCCATTTGCACATAGCATACATTTAATTGAAGAATTGCCAGGATTTTTCGTGCCAGTTGGGCAGAGTATACAATCGTTGATACCATATTGATCCTTATACATACCAGGTAGACATGCTTCTGTGGATGTAATCAAGGGTACTGATCCTGTATCTGTTATTGATGGAAAGAAGCCTGGTGGTGTGGGATAGAATATTAGCAAATTACCCTTATCATCCATTAAAGTTAATGATGTTGATGATGAAATGATATTTAAAAAAGTGAAACTAAAACTATCCGGTACTAATTGATGATAATTAGGAAAAACTGATAATGGAGTACTGTTAGAATTATAATTACTCGATATCATGTCATAGAAATAGATTTTAGATGACGACCACTGATATGTCAATGAATAAGTGTTCACAAGTATTGCAGTCATATTTCCATCGTTAAGCCAAGCTACACTTTTTCCATTTCCCAACGATCGACCGCCTGTATTTCTACTAATATAAGTTAAGTTTCTCGGATCACTAATGTTTACCGAAAGTAAGAAAACTCGATTGATGAATGGCATGCCAACTAAAACATTACCACGACTATTGATACTAATTGACATACTATTTATTGCCGAATAAATATTTACGTTCGAATAGGTTAGTAAGTCTTGCCATGTACCTGGAGTAGCTATTGGTATATATTGATCAACAACAATTGGATGACGATTTGATGAATTGAAATTAAGCAGATAAATGATCGGACTATATTTGACTCTTTCTTCTAGACCATTTTGAACGAAGCCAGCAATGATACCAAAGTTGTCACTAATTTCAACAGCACAAGGTTTAAATGAACTATTCGACCATGTTAAGCTGCTATTCCATGATTCCAAAATTGAAACATTCTGAGAATCGAATATGGTGACAAATTCATTAGCAAATCCATAGGCAAGAAGTCCTTTCGGTTCAACTCCGATGACATAGTACTCTTGATGTTCATAGTTATCTAGATATTGGATCGAGTAAGAGAAACTATTAGCACAAGAGTTCGATGAATCGGAAAGATCATTCGTTAGATTGTATTTTGCTATTCCAATAAATGGTCGACTGCTTCCATTGATCCATTCGCCAGCAAAGAAAAATTGTATTTGATTTTTATTCGGTTTCTTTCCAACAGCAACAGTATAGATATAGTAATTTTGTGAGCTATTAGGATAGTTGATGAAACATTGAGATGAAGTTTGTGTATTATTGTATTGTAATAATTGAATGAAAAAGCTAGGTGAGTCTCGACCGTTCTGAGCTTGTACGAGGAGAATCTCATTCATAGCTATTTTTACGCCATAAGCATCGTAAATAGTTCGATCAGGGCTGAAGACACCATTCAGATGATGAATATGCAATAGTAATAAAAAGCCAATGATCATGTATTGAATGTAATTCATGTTCTTATTGATTGAGTCAATCTATAAAGTTAACTAGTAATATAGTGAAAAATTGAAGTTGATTAGCCAAAAGCATAGAATTAGAACACATTAATTCCATGTAAGAAAAAATCTGATTTTAAACAATAGTTTGTCTTTTCTTTTCTTTTTTTTTTTTACATCGGAAAGGTCTTTATTTCGTTTTATTTCATCTTATCGTTTATAAACTATTGCAATGGTACAAAAAGCCGATGAAAATTCGGCTGAAGTTATTTATATGAGGGTTTTCACCATTCCCACTGTGAAAGAAATCAGAATTTTAATGGATTATAAATTTGATTTTGTTGTATAATGCTTGGATAAACAATTTTGATTATCCTCAGAGGACTTTGAAATTCCAACTAATTTTAATAGCAAAAAGTTTTCATTTGGCACAGTCTTGAAATAAAGTCGAAATCGACTTGATTTCATCAGCTTCAAAGCTTTTTTCATGAATACCTTTTTTACGCGAGTTGATTTTCGAGAGACCTCTTCTAAAAAGACAAATATGTCAATCGATGAAATTCATTTTATCGTTGCATTCTATGATCGACGTTCATAGAGAAGAACGAATAGACTATCTTTTGGGAAGAAAAATTGGAATGCTTCTCTTATTCTATGAATAAGAGCCTTATGCTTTGATGTTCAAATGTTAGATTTTAATGGATTACATCTAGATTCAAATAGTTTTCTTTTTGATGCATCTATATCATTGAAAAAATTCTATTAAGAATTTCTTGGTTTCACTGCAACGTTATCTTCCAAAAAATGAAAATCATGTCTTACACTATTGAAGCTCTCAGTAAAATGTAAACATAACAAAAGTCACATTGTTTGACATAGTTTGGAGTAAGACTATTTTACGTATAAGAGTTACTTCAATGAAAACAATCTATTGCATACGCTAAGTATCATCGAATGAAGGTCTCTTAAAATTACTAGCTAGTCATCAAAATGTCTCATGTCCATGTTCCGTCATTTTTTCTTGTTTCTAGTTATTCTTTACTTTCAACTTTTATTTTATTACTATTTTAACAGTATTGAAAACTAAATATACTCACGTGCTCAGAGATACTAGAATGTACAAGGTTTATTTTATGTGCTTGCAACCAATTTTGTTTTATATTTATCACTGACAACATTACTTGATTTTTTCCAATTAATTTCTTTTTATTAAGGTAATGTAGTATGACATGTCATCAGATAGGCCATTTCTTTTCATTAACTTGCTCATCATCACTTATATTTCGTTCTTTCAAAAGTCGTCCACCTTTTTTGCTTTACTTTGCGTCTGATGTTATTGTGACAAGAAAATATATACTGATATTTAGATATACATGTCTATTACATGTACATATTTGCCTATCGATTCAATAATATAAATAGATTATTTAGTATGAAAATTTTAATTCACATTCAAAAAGAAAATAACAATGTTAATTAAATAAATTTTCAAAGAATTTTGAAATATTCGAAACTTCAACGGATATACTATTGTCATCTTGTCAATCAGGATAATTTATACGTTAGTTGTACTATTTCGTATTTGGCGATCTATGGTTTGTCTTTCTGAATACAAACGCAAAAATATCAATAGTATATTTTATTTGATATTGAATAATATCTTCTCACACATTGCAAACAATATTTCATTTTTGAAAAATTACAAAGAAAATGTCGAATGATTTCACGAGACTGAAAAGGAATTTTTATTCCTTTCATTACACTATAGCATCTTGACATGTATCCAGTCACTCCTTCATAATTATTAATAGACAAAAAAGACACCTCTAAGAATTTGGATTTATTAGTTTTTAATCATACTCTTTTGTTTTCCGTCAATAAAAGTCATATATCCAAATTTTTCATACTAGGAAAATGCTCGGCTGACAGTGGCGTAGCCGAGGGAGGGGCAAATGGACAATTGCCCATTTCATTTGGAGATTTGTTCATTGAAGTTTCACTTTTTCAGAACGATTTATTTATTTTTTAAATTAGTTAGTAACTCTATTTTTATTCTTCCATCTAAATCACACATGCACTTTTTGCTTGTTCTTTTTGTGAACAATTAAGAAAAGAAGAAGGAAAGAATTACTTCTGGTATTGTAACCAGGGTTACCAGATGAAAAACTCGGAAATCAGAAAAAAAATCAGAATTTCTTCTTCGAAATCGAGAACTAATCAGAAAGAGTAACTTCTTGCAAGTCAAGAGCTATCATGTTGATATACTTACACAAAATGTCTCACTTTTTTGTTTATCGACTCATAGTTTATTTCTAAAAGTATTTCATAGTAAAGAAAAATAACATAAACATTATATAGCTTAGAGTGAAAGATCGTGTACTCTAAGCTAAGGAGATTGATCATAGTCAGATCAAATGAATACTTTCACTGTCAAACCAACTAATTAAAAATATGAGCTGCCAATAGCGTACACAGACTGAGATATTCGAGTTTCAAGAAATTTACAGTTTGTTTTGTGTTCATGCTACGAAACTTCATCAACACTTAGTTTTTTTTTTCGTCATGATTGGATGGAGCAGGACCATTTACATAAGAAAAAATAATGTCACGCATATTAAAAAGCAAGTTCTACGAAGTCTAACACAACATTTTAATTATAAAGGTAATAAACAAAAAATTCTAATTGCTGTCAAATTACTTTTGAATATGTACGATATTGTTTGTCCTTATGTAAATAGTCCTGTTCCATCCAGCCATGACAAAAAAACGAAAACTAAATATTGATGACATTTCGTAGCGTGGGCACATAACAAATTGTAAATTTCTTGAAACTCGAATGTCTTGATCTGTGTACCAATGGGAAAAAAGCAGATTTCAAGATTGCCAAAGATTTCACAAGATTTCAAAAGACTCCAATTTAAAAAAAATCTCCATGCTCTAATAGATCTCTGCTTGAGAACATGTTCAGTCTCATTTTATACGCGTTCCTATGTGACTTAATCCCTCCACTGCAGATAGAATCGTATAAGATAAAATGAGTTTGTGGCTATTAATTCAAATTTTCATCTAATCATCTAGTCAGATAGTTGCATGTATTGGTATAGTCTTTAATGTTTCAATGAAGACAAACGAATGCGACGAAGCTAAATCTGTAATCAGCTTCTAGAAATTTCGAGCTCGATACTTTTCATTCAGGAAACACTTTCTAGAATAATAACCATGGTTTTATAAATTTTCAAAAAAGATAGTCAGAATCGAGAAATCCAAATCCTTAATTAGCTCTTAACTGTTCGTCGCCTTGGTTTCTCGTTGATAAAACTCATTGTTTCTCTGAAATACTGTACACCTACTGAGACATCAAAGATATAAATGTCGCGAAATCTATTACAGACTAAAATTGTTCGGCTATACTTGCATCTCGTCGAATTTTATAGAAAAAATCGTTGTTTTCTCAAAATAGCTTTTTGTGGATAAAAAAAAATGAAATTAAATGGTATTCGCTTCAAGCCTACTGCTTCTTCACTTAGTTTCAACTGAATAAAGTACTCGGTGGGAAGATGTTAAACTTTATATCAACATTCGATACAAATGGCGCCCGTTATCATGATTCGCTTAACCGTCCACTAAACCTGACTTCACTTTCACCTCTTACCACTTACTAGACTCTGTTTTGAGAACCACCGCTCAAGAACATGTGCTAAACGTAAAAGGAAATATTTATTTCATTGCCAGAAACGATCATTTAGTAAAGAGATCATACGTTTTTATTTTCTGTTGACATTTACTAAAATGAACCTTGTCGAACAGCACACATCTGCTGTTCGTCGACATCCTTAGGCTTCACCAATTTCAACTACTCAATTTGCTATATGATCCGGACTTAGTTTAGAGTGCTCCATGTTCTCGTTCAACACATTTTTAGTAGTACGAAGAAATCAATGAAACAACATTTCTTATCCTCATATTGACCGTTGAATGCATATAATAAATAGAATAAGAAGACTACAAAATTTAATGCTGTAGGATCGATGTTCTAGTTGGTATAATTGAAATATAACTCACAAGTATGTGATACTAGCTCCTATAATCTCTATTCTAGCAATTTTTTTCGATAGCTCACCCATTAATTGTGAAAAATTGTAGCATAAGATCTTTTTCTTTCGATATTTAGAGCATCGTGAAATTCTTTTTCTGCAATTTCTTCGGAACAAATGCAGGACATGATTTTCTTTAATAGATATGATCTATCCGCATAATGTTGTCGTAGGTAGTAGAGACCTATTCATGCTCTCGGTTCGGTACTTCAGATCGCGATTCATTAAATAGTTTATATACAAACAAAACTCATTCTATAAACCTGTTGACTTTCTTTTGAATCAGATAAGAATGTTGCTCGACTATAATAAAGGAATGTCACTCTAAGTCTTGTTATAGGTATTTGATTGATAATTTTCCAGTTTGCTGCACACAATAACTCTCATTTTCTTTCTATTTTCATGTAAGGTCTTCTTTTATCTAACACGAGAGATTACGCTTCAGGTCAGCTGTCATGTTTATTCTAAATTTCATTTTCTATTTCAGTATCTTTCTTCGATATAAAAACTTATATTACTACTAAACAAAAACTAACTTATCAAATCCTGACAAAAATATTTTCTTTATTTTGAATACAGCTTTGAGCACCTCACTAAAATTTTCATTCAAAGATGTAACATATCCATTTCCGCAGACATTTTTCATACACAATAGAAAGGCATAAAACTTGAACAAAAATCTTTATTCCGAATCAATTGATATAGGTAATCAAGAGAAAAAGTGACCGAGATAGTTTGGACTAGTATTCAGCGCAATTTGTGAAAACACATCAGATGTTGAATATTTCAAATGTGATCTGGACTCCT